CCAATTCGAATCAATGACAAACCAATTGCAAATCTGCAATTGGCTAGTTGATCATCCGGATATCCTGCAGCTAGCCACTCAAATGTTAAATATGAAGGATAATACGTCACAATTAGCACTAGCAGTGCAGCAGCCAGCACACGCGCCATCAACCGCATCCAATGTAAGCGTTTATTGTATTTCAATCGATACATTCAGTTGTTGTGACTATAATTTTCATAAATATTTCACAAAAACTTTTATTATTATTTAGGAAAAATATAGGTTAATCGATGAAGAAATAAAATGTCTTTTTTTAAGATCTCGGTTCCCACCTGGTCTCGTTTTTGAAAAACTAGTACGAAAAATTTTTCCCGAATTTGAAACTTATAGTAGCACAGCTAAATCAATTATAGATCGATGTAGAAAATCCTTTTCAGACTATCGTTATCAGCTTAGGGTGTCAATTGAAGAATTAGTCCGAGAATTTCAAAAAAAATTAGAAAGGTAATCAATATAATATTATTTGCATTTATAATTGTATTTATAACTAATGTCAATATGAATTTCTTTCCTTTTTTTTTAAAGAGGAGGAACTACTACAGAAACAGAAACTCAAGTTGAGATTACCAATTTTATTTCATGTGAAGTCGCTATTAAGAGAATTCTTAACCGCTATTTTTCTGCGGTTGATATTTCTGAAATTTCAGAAATATCAATGGACAAACTAATTGAATTTTCGAGAGAATGTTTTAGTATTGCGTGGGAGGAAAGGAACGAAACCAACACTAAGGCTTTCTATAATCAAATCAAAAGATTAGATAAAAATACGGAAAATTTAGAAATTCCGTCCCGTAGTGGAAAGAATTTTGCTAGCTCACTGAAATTTTAATAAAAAAATGTAATAAAATGCAGTGAAGTTGCAATATATTGTAATAAAAATTATTGGTGTGATATTATTGTTGTGACAGAATATTATTGATGTATGATGTGATGATATATAAAGTAATATCATCATTGAGAATTCTTTTTTCTTAATAACAAATAATACACGATGATGCATAAGATAAATTTTGTTAAAGTGATATTTGATAAAATCTGCATGTTGTAGATTATGTGACGCAAGTAGATGTAATTACTACAAGGTCACCTGATTTATTTAATAATACCGATTGATAATAAAAATAAAATAATTTACCGATTGATTTCTGGCTAGGAAGAACAATATTGTATAAAACCTTATATAGAATACTGATCTACCGATGATTAATTCACGATTAATATTTAATTATGCAGACTTCAATTTTTACAATAGTTTTACAATTAAAATATATTATATGCAATTCTGTACGAAATACATTAACATTGTTAAATAACAATCATTGGTATCATACCACACCGATAATCGGTGTTGGCTTGACTTTTTTTTATTTTATATTTCCAACTTTATCGTCTCCTTTTTATTCTTTTATTCCCCTTTAAATTTATTTTTCCAACTTCACTAATAAATTTACATATATTAAAAAACATTATTATATTTATTTTATTGTTTTATTGTAATATTTTTATTTTATTTACGTGCTGTGATTTGATCGATGCGAAAGTAATACAACTAAAATAATTGTGTCACGTTCTATCAAGAAAAATGCATCCGTTGTGTTTGACTCATATATGTTTGTGTATTTTGATTATCTTTATCAAGAAAAGGACATATTAAGGTGAAACCGGGATTTTGTTGAATTTCGAGATATCAATATAAAAAAGATTGGTGTATTTTTTACTTGGCGATTCAGAGATTCAGCTTTCAGCTTAGCTCAGTCAACATACGTATATTTCAGTCACTATAGCCACCATATAGGTCAGTATAATAATATTTATTGCATTATAAGCAAATATACGAATAAGGCATTAATTTTTGTATATTCATAAAAATTTAGAATTTTGATTTTGATTGTTAACAATGTTGCGAAATAGAGCACGAAGGGATACTACTACATTACCTTTTCGTATTCGAAATAATTTTAGAAGGCAACCACAAGGTACAATAGTACCACCAAATGATGATAATGGTAGTGACAATTTTGATAATAGTAATGAACAACGAAATAATTATAATGTTGATATGCAATTAGAAAATGAAGAATATGACGATGATGAGGATGCAGGAAATGATGATATTTATGCAACATCATCAGAAAATAGTGATAATTATACAGCATCTTCAGAAAACGAAGAATATGATGATTATGGGAATGCAGGAAATGATGATTATGCAACATCGTCAGAAAATGATGATAATTATACAGCATCTTCAGAAAACGAAGAATATGATGATTATAATAGCGATACAGGAAGAACATCTCTAGAAGGTGAAAACCATGTTTATGCATCATCACAAAGTGATACAACAACATCTTCAGAAAGCGGAGAAAATATTGCTAATCCCTCATCAGAGGAAAAAATATTCATTGATAGAGCGCTAGATGAAAGCAATTTACCAAATTTTAATGGCAATTTTGCACTATATTTCCAAGATTTTACTACTGCTGCTTTATTTTGTTGGATTCATAAACATGATATCTCAACAAATGCGTATGAAGATCTTGTTGATATTATTATGAATCAAGAATTCAATAGGAATCATATTGTAAGAAATATCCGAAGATTTCGAACATGGAGGCAACATCTTCCTCTTCTTTCAATATCTGCAAAATCTATCCCAATTTCATCAAAAAAAACACCATCAACTTCTAAAAACTCAAAATTAGCATATCAACTTTCAATAAATGATATTATTTGGCATGTCCTTAGTAATCCATCATTAGTTAATAATATGTATTTTGGTCCAGGTATTCATTCAGAAATAAAATCTGAATACTGGCATGGAACTTTATGGGCAGAATCACCCCTTTTTGGCCAAGAACAATTAACAATATTACAAGGTAATGATCATATAATCATATTTGTTATTTATTCTTATTCATAATTTGTGTAAAATAATTCTATTGTTTTTTTATATCTAATAGAGACATATAGATGTGGAGATTTTTTTTATTATTATGATAATGACAATAATGAACAATTTCACCTTGGTAGATTGAGAGCAATATTAATGAATGAAGTTGATAAGCAATATTAGCTAAGAATCCAAAAAGTTCTATATTATAATGATTTGCCTGGAGCTTTTAAGGGAGTACTAAGATGGAACCGTTCTCTTACTGGTGAAGTTTGGTTACAAGACCTATCTTTTCAAATAATTGGAATATCACAAATTTCTAAAAAAGCTACTGTGATGATGATATTCCAGCATAATCTCATTCCTGAAGAAACATTGCATATTACTGAAATAGTTTATAGACATAATAGTTACTGGCGCATTCGTAATGTAGATTTTTCATATAAACATCCTGCTGATTATATCATAACAAGACTACCACCATCTCCTTCCATGAAAGTCTGCAAACTATTTTTGGATCTTTATTATGATGATTTTGGCACATACCGAAATGTCTACCATTCATTATGAGGTGTTTATATACAATTTGGAAATATGCCAAGTCATCAAAGGAAGTTGCTTAAAAATCACTTTGTCCTTGGATTTGTCCCATTTGGTGGTGATTTTAATGAGTTTATAAAACCTTTTATTTCTGAAATAAAAGAACTTGAAAAAGGAAAAGTAATGAATATACAAGGACAGGATGTTTGGGTAATTGCAAGCATAGGAGTTGTAACAGCTGACTTACCCCAAGGTAATGATTTGGCTGGTGTATTGCGACAAAATGCTAATAAGGGGTGTAGAAGTTGTACTATAAGTAAAGATTCATTTACTGATTTTACTCAATATATAGCTTTAACTTCTCGATATCATCACTTGACAGATTCTGAATTTGCTTTAATATCTGCTGAAACAGTTATTTCTCAAAAAAAACAACTTAGTAGGAAATATGGATTGAAATTACAGCCTAATATTTTAGATGAACTGAAAAGAGAGAGATATTTGCAAACACCACAAGATATTTACCATGTTACTGCAGGAAAAATTGGACGTCTACTCAAATTAACTTGTGAATTATTTTCACAAGAAGGAGAAAATGATTTCATTAAAACCTGTAAAGATTTTGAGAAACCAAAGACATGGTCACGTATACCAAATCCCATTAGCCACCGGGAAAGTTTTATGATGTCTGATTACCTTCGGCTTGCTATAATAATGCCTTTCATATTAAATCGGTTTTTAAAAATAACTAGTTTGAAGAATAATGAGGCAAAAAATATCCAACAACGAACTGGTGCATCACGTATTAATTTAGTAAAAAATATAATAATAACTTGTTGGGTTCATATAGCAAAAACAATGAGTATGGTCTTTAAAAGCAAGTTTACAATAAATTCTTATGAAGAATTACAGCAAAGTCTTAAAGAAGAAATGAATATTCTTCCAAAGGTATAAATAATTACTTAGTATAGCAATTTGAATTAATTATTTACTAATAATAAATGATTTTTAGGTTTTCTCTGAATTTGTCAACTTGCCAAATCTGCATGTTAGTGTTCATTTACTAATGCATGCAAAAACTTATGGTACTCTTATAAATACTCAATGTGGTATCAAAGAAATGGTACACCGGGTCTTTAAAGCAATGGTACCCCGGACAAATCGCAAGAATATTGAATTAGATTTATTAAAACGATATACCACACTTTTTGCAATTCGTCATCTAGTAGATGGTGGTATAGATTATAGGTTATCTCAAAGTTGTAATGGGTTTGCTTCTCTGACATCAAATTTTAGGCATATATTAACCAATTGGTATATTACTGAAAACAAAGAAACATCAAATGAACATGATGAACAAGATAATGGTTTGTATTGTAATTTTATTATTTACTAAGTAATTCTAATCAAGAAAAATTTGTGCAAAATTTTTTGATACTATTTTTTTTTTTAAATTCAAATCTGATTACTGAATGATTAATTTTATACATTGTAATTTTATTATAGTAACTTCTCCAGTAAACTTTATTACACATATTACTTTAAAAAAGGGGGTATCCCAACAAGATCGTGAAAATATTATGTTGAACTTGCCACATTTCAATTCTGAGTTGCTCCTTTCATTTGAAGATATTGGATTTAAGTCAGCACTTATATATTCTCAAATGAGTTGGTATAAATTGGCAACCTATATAATAGAAGAAACTACTAGTGGTGTCTTCTCCAAAATCCATCTTCATATTGGTGACTTTGTAACAATACAAGAAGAAAATCATGATGAATGTTATGCAATTATAAAAGGAATCTTCAAATATAAAGCCAACAATAATAAATTTTATGCATTTATTATTATTGATTGGTTTGAAGAAATTAAGAGAGTTCACCATGTATTGAAATGTCCTCTTTATCGTATTCAGGCAACCTATGATACATGTTGGAGAAGAATATTCCCAATATTAGTAATTGACCGTGTGCAAAAGGTTCACTTTGTTTATGATGCAACGAATGAATGCTGGATAAAAAATGATTTTTTTTTTACTGCTATATGACTTTATAATAAGGACTTTTATTATATTTATTTGTAATTAGTAGGATGAAATTAATGGTGGTATCATTTAGTGTTATTTAAAATAATGCATTTAGCGATCGATCTTCATATTCGTGATTTAGCAATGCTATTTCACGTGACTGGATCTGATTAACCAATAAAAACCTTAAATTTTTTGTTTTTTGTTTTACTGATAAAATCCCTCTACGCCAAACTTTTTATTTTTAAATATTTATTTAAAGTTAAATAATTACCAGTTTCTTTGAAATTTGATACCTTTGAAGTTTGAAGTAAGTTATTTTTCAGATTAACTACTGTTTTTTTTCACAATATTAAGAAACCTAACGACAACAACTATAAAGGAAGAAATGAGAGTAATACTTGGAAAGGGAAGAATCAACCTGCGGGAAACGACAACCAGGGTGGCCAGTCAAACCGCCAGAGCTAAACAGCATAACGAAAGTAGCTACAAATCTTCAAAAATTCTAACGCGTTCAATACAACCACTTCAAGATGTACTAGACCTAGTAAAGTCATTGTTGAGACGCGGCTATTTTATGGTCACTATCGACCTCAATCAAGCTTTTTCTATCACATACCGCTAGCAGAGTTCCAACGAAAATATTTTGCATTCGATTTCCTCATGTTTACCGTTCGGCTTGACAACAAGTCCCAGAATATCGAGCTCAGAGGATAAGGATAGTGGATTATCTAAACGACCTGTTGATAATGGCTTCATCAAAAGAACAGGCTCAAGACCATGCTTCGATTATCGTAAAATTGCTAGTAGAACCATGGGTTCATAGTAAACGAAAACAAATCTTATCTAACTCCCTCCTGATGAACTTTTTGATAGCGCCTCCAGTTCTCATAGGACAACATCTTCATTCCTAATCATCCTCAGCAACAGGATCCTCTCCGGGAAAATCCTTGCGTGCAATATCTCCAGTCATGGTATGAAGTGAAAGGCTTGTTATCGATCTTCTCATCTCAACAATGAATCTAAATTTTACAAAGATAATGTTCTCGGCTCTCAGATCATGGATTTCTTGGTGCGAACTTGCCGATCACATCCTGATATTTAAAAATTATGAAGGCTGTTCATGTTAAAATCCTCCTACATCGCATGGTGATGAAGCTATAGATATTAGGACTTTATTCGTAATCTCGGCGATAAAATATTGCAAAAGGTTATTAATAAACAAAGTTTTTATAATATCAAAAATTATAAGTAAATTATATTATTACTCACTCGTTATCTTTATATCATATTCAACTAGAGTATTTTTAGGAACAATTGGAGATGTTGCTTCCATAGACTTGGCGGTAAAATCAAAACAATCATTCCATGTCCATCAGGGATTTAGTATGTGTTAAAACAGCACTTGTGTCTGCAATTGTTGCATCTTATTTTCGGTAAGTATGGTAGGTATTATTATTAATTACACGTATTTTTTAAAAACTGAATGGTATTATTAAATAATTGTAAATGCTTTAAATTTCACATATACTATGGAAATAAAGTTAGTTCTAGTAATTTCACTAGTAACTATGTTGTAATTATTATTTATGATCAGATATGTAATAAGTAAATTTTGATTATTAATAAAATTGATACTTTAATTATTGTCATAATACCAAGCTGATAACATTTAAATATCGTTAAGATATCATGATTGATATTCTTAATAATCATTAGTTGTTTTCTATACATCTCAACGACATCAATATGGGAACATATTGGTTTTATGCCGATTTTTAAATGATAACATGCTGATACAGTTATGATAATGTAATAATACTGCGACGATATCGTGCTGATACCAAAATGATGCTATCTTAGTGTCGGGATAATATCGTTTTGCTATCATTCACCGTATTGTCACTGTATTATTGCTGCGACGATATTGTGCTGATACCAAAATGATGCTATCTTAGTGTTGGGATAATATCGTTTTGCTATCATTCACTGTATTGTCACTGTATCATTGCTGCGTCGATATCGTGCTGATACTAAAATGATGCTATTTCAGTATCAATAAATATCTGGATGATATCGTTTTGTTATCATTCACTGTATCGTCACAGTATTATTACGTTATCGTTAAGAGAGTCGTAACTATATCAATATGTTATCATTTTAGAAAATCGTCATGAAATCGTTACGATCTCATAATGATATCGTTAAGATATTATTTTAGATTTGAATATTTCAGTAAAGTATTATAGATCTCCCGTTTCCTTTTTTTCGAAGTGGCATCTCACCATTTTTAGTCCATAATCCACGTTTCCCATCATTTGAATAAAAAATGCATTCATCATGAACCACAAGAACTCTTTCTTTTTCTCCTTCAGGTAAGGTATATCCGATCCATAAATTCACCTTCATATTTGGACATGTATTTCTCATGATTAAATATATTTTCTAAAAATTTTTTTCGATATTGTAAAATGTCTTCTCTTTCATGTCCATCATAGTAGATTCCACGACGGTATTGTTGAAATGAGTAACCAAGAACCTTAAGCCCTTTATTTTTATATAACCAACAAATTTATTAATATTAATTAATATAATACTTGCATATTTAATCTTTGAATACTTACATCTCGTTGTAGTCATTATAGTAATAGATTTTTCTTTAGCAATTCCAATAGCAGGAAATAATTCATTTTCAACAAATTTTTTAAATGTAGCTGGTGTAGTATTGAAGTTTTGTTTTCGAATCCAAATATGACATCTTTCTGCAACATCTTCATCATCAATTACTCTGATCGTTTTTTGATATTTTCCGTGTCTAGATTCTGGAAGTTTATTATTAAGTAACCAGTACTTTGTAAAGTTTCAAATTTTTTGTGCTTTCCATACACCACCATCAATATAAATTTTTTGAACAACCTTCAAACTAATATCCACTTTTTCACATCCGTTATTATTATTTAACAAGGTAAGATATTCAAATATTGCTCTTTTATAATTGTATTCAATAACTGTTAATTGATTATGTTGTTTTTCTAACTGTTCTTTTAAATCTTTTATTTTTTCAGTTATTTGGTAATTACGTGAACAAACAACTTCATTTTATGAATTACTTGAATCTGTATCACTTAAAATATCATTTAATGTATCTTGATTAAACAATTGTAAATTGGTAGCTTGGATATCACTGTTATTAAAAAAATTTGTAATTTTTTTTGTGCCAGCTGCTGCTTTAGTTAATGAACCACTTGGATCATATTTATCATAATATGTTGACTTCAGTGTTTTACCTATCTTATATGGTCCATTAGTCCTCGTTTTATTTTTTCTAAATGATTGTCATCTTTCCATACCAAGCCAAAATTTTTTTATTTTTTGATAAATCTTAAGTTCAGCTTCCATATTCTCCAGATCATCCCATTCATTATCATCATCATCACCCCAATCTTCATTTTCATCAAAGAATTCTTCAACCAACGCATCACCACTATTATTATCAATTAATTGCTGGCTATTCTTATTTGCTTTTTTATCAAATTTACCATCTATAGTGTGTGTTTGCTCCTTTAATTTTCTTTTTTGTTTGGAAAGAAGCGGCATTTGCAATTTTTTATTGTTTAAAAAAAAAAAAAAAATTTTAACAATATTTTATAGCGATTGATTGTTGTCACGTGATTATGATCTCGCATTTTTATTGGTCAATTTGTAGATTTACCCCTGTAAATACCCCTGCAAAATTAGTCTGAATTTGGCCAACTAATATTAATGTACCATATTTTTAAATGCTAATAACTTCATAAATAATTAAGTTAATTGAAAATGTAAGCCGATTTTCTGAAAGAGAACAGCATAAACTATATAAAAATCAGTTTAATTATTTAATAATATACAAATTAAAAAATTAGATACATTTTAAATATATGCTAAATTTTTGATGACTTTAGATATTACGCACCATAGGTAGGATAAATTAAAGTTATTTTTATTTATTTTTTTTTTTTTTGTCAAAAAATAATATATATGTTTGTAATTATTGATCAATTTTAAATAGGAACTTTTTTACATTTTTTTAAAATAATTATATCTAAAAATTAGGCCAATTTTGAAAGAAATAAAAACTACTAAATGTATAAAATAAATATAATCTATAATTATAAATGTTACTGAACTTGTAAGGTAAAAATATATGTGATTTAAAAATGTAACTGGAAAGGTAATAAAATTACTTAATAGAAGGAAAATTTGGAGTAAGGTAAATTTACATATAAATCTTAAAAATTTTACGGTGACCTCTATTAGAAGTAAGCAGAGTTCTGGTGTGACATAATGCAGCTACGATAAAAAATAAAACCCTTTCATAATTATCTGAATTTTAATATTTTAGCATTCTTTAAACTTTGTAAAAGAGTTAAATATGGTAAAAAAATTTATTTACAATTTCATTTAACTTATTATTTTTTTTTTTTCTGCAGTTTTATTAAAGTAAAAAAAACAAATTAGAAGAAACTATATATAAAATAAAGTTCTAATAATATCTACTCTAATATAATTAAACTACAAATCACTCGTCATACATATAGTACCCCACATGTGTACTGTCAAGTGATCATTTGACTCGATAGGTAGACTTCATTTAAAAACGAGTCATCTTAACTATAAGGTCCTATCTTCAACGTCAGATGATCACGAGATCTTCTACGCTGCATATTTATTATTATTATTATTATTATTATTATTATAATTTGTTATCTGTTGATTGGAGAATTTTCTGGATTTCCAAGGAGCTAATATACCAGTCGTAACCATGTTGAATAAGTGCTCTTTACATCTTTGTAGACGCATCATTGAGTTTTGAAAGTTTGCATTCTTTGTATACGGTTGAGGTGATCTGATTCCAATCATATTGAACATCTATACTTCTTTAATCGTTCTTGAAGTCTTAAGTTTATCTGGAGATTTAATATTTAGAGATGTTTTGAGTTTAATCATCATGTATTTAAATTACAATGTGATTTTCACATATA